CTTTCCGGAGGACCGCCGGGAGGGGAACTGTCGAGTGACTGAGCCCAGTGCTGCGCAGTCGGACGCAGACTGAGGCGCGAGCGAGCGACGCCAGGCTTGCAGTGCCGAGCTAAAAGCAGAGCCAGCAGGTGAGAAGGGACAGGGGGGAGGCCGGCTGGGCAACCAGTAGCAAAGTTAGTTTTCGCTCCCACTTCCAGAGCGCGCTTGGGCAGCTTTCTTGGAACAAGTGGCAGGTCGAGCCACGAAGGCAGCTGGTGGGTGGGTGAGAAGGAGCCTAAGTTCTTCGGTTCCGCCATGCACCAGCTGTGTGATTCCGGGCCCGTCCCCCCACCCGGCTTTGGACCTCTCGGGTTCCTGTAAAAGGAGGAGGTTGAACCAGGTGAACTCCACGGTTGCCCGTAGAGTTGCCCTTTCTCACTAAAACACCGAAAGGTGAGGGCTGGCAGGTGAGAGCCGACTCAGTTCAGTCACAGGTATTCAGATCGCGCTGCCCAGACTGCAGTTTCCCTGCCTGCCGAGTGGCACTGAGCAAAGCAAAGTCTGTGTGAGCATGAAGCGAGTTGCTTTAAAGGTCATACTAACTTAGATGGGGCTTGAATCCACAAGCCCAGGGGGAATGGAGCCCAAGTCAGGGAGGTTTCAGCCTCCCGTTTCCCCAACTCTGAGAGCCCCATATGACTACAGGTCGGAAACTCAACGGGGCTTTTGTACCCCACCAAGGGCTTTTCCAGGTGACTTGTCCTGGGCAAGGCCTGGAGCAGAAAGCAGGGGGCAAGTTCTCATCCGGGTGAGCAGGGAAGAGAAGGGAAAACCCCGCCGAACTTTGGGCCCAGAGTCAAGCTCAGGGCCTGGGGCTCTAGCTGCATACCCAGAGTTGTTAGTTCCTGGGTCTGGAGGCTTCTGTTCTTGGTGGTAGCGGGTGCTCTGTGCCAGGGCCATGGTAGCTGGGCGGCCTCATGCAATGGTCATGGGCTTGGGCTTTGGGCCCAAACTGACTTGGATTCCACTCCTTCTCCAAGCTTCAGTTTCCCCATCTGTAAAATGGGGATAATAACAGTCCCCAATGGCAGTAGTGAGGACTTAATGGAATAATGGGTATACAGTACTTAGCAAGGCGCCAGGCATCCAGTGAGGCCTCACTACGAGACAGCTGCTCTGATGTGGATGGGCAGGTGGTGGGCTGGCTTCCTGCCTGGGAATGAGCCTGATTTTGGAGGGTCAGAAGCTGGCTGCATCTCCTCCTGACCTGTACGAGCCAGAAATTGCCACTTGCCACTAGCATCACTTTGTCCATTTTAGGGTGGGATTCAGAGTGTCATCTGGACCAGAGTGGCTGAATTTTCTGTAATATTGCTTGAGGTTGACGGGGATCTAATTAAGTAAACCCAAAAATGTTTACTGAGCACCTATGTATATATTGGATAGTGCTAAGGAATACAGAGGTAAACCACCCAGGCCTGGGCTCTGCCCTCATTTTGAGTTGCTGACAGTGAGGGCTTCTCATCCCCTCCATGCCCCTGCGGGAGAGGATAACTCACACCCAGGGCTCTGGGCCAGAGGAGATTTCATGGGTCTGTACTGCCCTGGTGGCTGGAATCCAGCTCTTCTATTGCACACTTGGCTTGGGCTGAAGCTGAGAGGCAGTGTGGGCACCTATTATCTGTTGGATCGGGGTTGGACACTGAGTGAGAATGGAAATGCTGCATGTGGGTTCCCTGCATCTCCTGTGGAGAGGAGCCCTACACTTTAGAACCAGCTGGAAAGTACTATGGGACAGAGTCTGATTGAAGAGTGCACTATGTGGAGGAGAGAGAGTGTGTGTCTGTTTGTGTATGAAAGCCGTGCTTAGAAGAAGTGAGACACTGGAGACAGCAGGGTAGGGGGTGAGGGGCCTTCCTGGAGTTGGTGAAACCTGAGCAGAACCTTTTGTCTGGGCCCCCAAGTCCTGGTTTGCATCAACCTGGAGCCACAGACTCCCCTCTTTAAGCATTTGAATTGCATAAGATTAGCGTTTGGTAGGGTGTGGGAGGGAAAGGGTCAGTAGGTGATGCCTGTTGGGGAAAAAGATGTTCATTTCAAACAGTGCTTAGTAAGCATCTACTGGAAAGTCCTCCTCACCAGCCTCCACTCCACATGATGAATGATAAACGATGACACATTGATCCCGTCCTTAGTTACTTACCGTTTAAGAAGACACTAAGACAAGGATACCAATGACTCTGTTAGGACATAAATGAAGAAAAGATGAGAAGGACCTTCAGGAAAGCTTCTCGGAGGAGGTAGAATTTTGGGTGAGCCTTAAGGATTGAGAGGGTGTCAGCAGCCACAAGGAAGACAGTGTTTTGGACAGAGGAAACTATCTAGACAAAGGCAAGGAGGTTAGAGTCTTCAGGGAATTTTTAAGAAACTGCTGGGTTGATCAGTGTGGACGAAGAGTTGGGACTGTGCAGGGATGTGAAAGGGAAATGATAGGTCGGATCAACCCGTGAAGGGCCTTGAACGCCAAGGTGAGATGTTTGGATTTGATTTGTAGAAAGTGAGAGCCACTGACGGTTTCTGAGTAGGGAAGTGACACAGTCAGAGTGGCACTCTAGGAAAGGCAGTCTGCCAGGTGTGCTGCAGTGGGTGACCCAGTGGTCAAGGGTTAATGAGCCAAAGGCGGTGGTGACAGGGCAGGAGGGCTTTGGAGGGATCTGCAACTGGGGGATAGAAGAGGCACCATCAGAGAAGTGGGAGGGGACCCAGGGCAATGTGGGAGAGGAGAGAGTGTCCCAGTGTGTGCCCGGTGTTTCTTTCTGTTCCCCACCCAGCCTAGACCATGGTGCATTGCAGGGACTCAAGAAGGTGCTGGATTGGGTGGGTGGGGAGGGTGATGAGTGCTAATGACTGATAGAGAGAGAGCCGCCCAAGTTGTCCCTGTGTTTGCCCATGATGGTGAAGCACCTGGGCCAAGTGGCAGAGCTTGAGCTGGTCAGTGATGGGTTTGGAAACAGAGTGGATGGGAAGTGCCTGTGGCTGTCCTCCTCCTAGCCCCACCCAGGGAGGACCAGGGTGAGAGGTTAGACAGTGGGGGCACAAGTTTCCTATGTACAGAGATGGGGCGGGGGCATGGATTTTTGTTCCCCAGTGTTCCTCTGAAGTTTCTGCCCTGTGGGGCAGTCCCCCCTCTCTAGAGGCCTCACACTTTGAAGCCTCTGCATGGAAGCTTCTCCTCCTTGTTACCCCCAACTCCCACTCCCCACCACCCTGAGACCCAACTCCTGTTCCCCCTGAGGACCAGACAGCCCTCTCCTGGCACAGGGATGAGCATACCCAAGCCCTGAGCATTCCTTTCAATTTGGAGCATCTGGGGCCAGCTGGCACCCCCTGGTTTTGGCTTGGCCTTTACCCCTTTGCTTCAAACTGTTATACCCATGTCCTCCACCCCATGGGGAACTCAGAGGGAGCGGTTATGATTTAATCAAAGACATCAAACCATCAGGAGTTGGCTCTGGGAGAGGCAGGAGGAACGGAAGAGCCTGGGCCCTTGTGTGGAACAGAGTGGGGCCAGGAGTGGTGGGGGTGCTGGTCTAATCTCAGAGGGAACTGCCCTGCCCACCACTTTCTCTCCTCCAAGCCTGGATCTGAGGAGCCAGGAGGGAAGCCCAGAGGTAAAAAAAAAAAAAAGGAAAAGAAAAGAAAAAACGTGATGCGGTACATGCTGCTTCTCTTTGCTTCACCCTTGATTGATGCCGCCTGTGAGGAGTTGGCCCAGTGGGTATCTGGTGGCTGGCTGGTTCCTGACTCACCCCTGGGGTTCCCCGTACACCGTGGGTTTCCTGTCAGCAGCTGATTCACCCTGTGCTGACATGGAGAAGCAGCTGAGGGGAGAGCAGAGGCCTGCATTCTGGTTGTTGAGGTTAGTTCCAGCTCCTCTGTTTACAGGCTGTTTGACCTTCCCTAAGTTTCTTCTCCACCCTGGGCTTCCCTTCCCTGCTCTGCTAATGGCCGATTCTTTACCTGCAGCTCTGGGGCTCTGGGGCTCGGGATTTGTCATTTGTACCGTAGGGCAAATGGGAGTTCACATCCATGTGCATGCGTGTGTGTTTGCATGCACACACACACACACACACATACACAACACAGGCTCTCGAAACAGAGTGGAAGTGCGCGACTCCTCTCAAACATGTAACAGTCAGCCCCACCTCCTCACCCTTGCTTACCCCCTACCGGAAGCACCTTCGCCTGCCTTCTACCTGTCTGCAGATTAGGGACATGGTACAGCATGGTGGTGAAGAGTTGGACTTGGAGCCGGAATCTTGGTCCTGCCCATTTCTAGCGGTATGACCCTTTCTGAGCCTCAGTTTCTGAATCTGAAAATTGGGGATAATAATACTAACTACCCTGTAGGGCAGCGGTTCTCAACCTGTGGGTTGCGACCCCTTTGGGGGTCGAACGACCCTTTCACAGGGGCCGCCGGCTACTCGTATGTGGGCGTATCTGCGTGTGGGCCTGGAGACGGATAGAGGAGCGGTGTCTCAGTTCCTAAGACCATCGAAAATATGTGTTTTCCGATGGTCTTAGGCGACCCCTGTGAAGGGTTGAGAACTGCTGTTGTAGGGGAATGTGAGATAAAACAAAAAAGTGCATGTGAAGCTTAGCAATTTTATACCCAGCACACAGTGAATGCTCCATAAATGAGAGCTATTCTTTTCTGCCTCTGACCTGTCTTTCAAAGCTTATACCAGGCTGCTTCTCAGGCTTCCTGGAACATTCCCCAGAGCATCTACCTTCTGCGTGGGCCCTCTGTGCTTCTCCAACATATGCGTAAGTGTGTGTGTGCCACAAGACACTAGTCATTTCCGGCTGTGTGGTGCTCCTCGGCTCTTCCTGCGGTTAGTTGAGTCTCCCCAACATGACGCTAAGCTTCCTGAGGGGGAAGTAGGTTAAGTCTGAACGTCAGTGGCCGACTTTCTCCATACCCGCTCCTTTCCCTTCCGGTCTCTCCTCTGTGCTTGTCTACACGGAGTACTTTCCTCTTTGCTGCTGTTTTGTGGCCTATGGAATGTCTCTGTGAACCTTCCCAGCCAGGGGCTGCCCTGTCCATCTCTGTATCCTTGACTACTGGCTCAAGGCCTGGCACACGGCAGGCATTCAGGAAACGGTGGTTGAATGAATAAGTAAGTGATTCTCCTTGGGGTGGCCCAGCAGGACCCAGCTTGGTGCCGGATCCTCAGAGACTCTTTGGTAAAGGTGGAGCCAGGAAGCAGGGTCTGGATGCCCCTGCCTTGCCCTTTAGGCTGGCTCCTAGAACCTGGGTCCGGGGGGTCTGCTGGCCTGGAGTTGCTTCGTTTGGGGCTTTGGCTCTGTGGCTTTCCTTGTGAGGTCTGGCCTTTCCCTCCCTAAGAGGGGAACAGTCCAACTTCCTCCAAATCCAGCCTAGTGAGGGGACACTCTGGCCCTTGTGAATCCTGACTCAGCCAGAAAAGGCACCTCCAAGTCAGCAGTTATTTGCGGAAGGTGCTACTGTTCTGTGAGGGCACGGGCTCAGGGCTGGGGGAATGGGAAGGTGCCCTCCAGGAGGCCCACTCCTGATAGTATCACTCCAGATCACCAGGTGGGCAGCTCTGGGAAGCACCTCCACTGCCCGCCTCTGGCTGCTTTCCCTGCAGTAAGGGCTTCTGCCCCTTCTTTGGGCCCCACCCCTGACTTGTCCTGAGGTATTCAGGGGTGATCTGGGATGGAAATTGTTGAGTATTCTGGACCTAGGCTCGTAGAGCTGATGCAGAGAAATGGATAAGGTGCTGGCTGGGTGTTAGGAAGCCTGTCTCTGTTGTAAAGTTAGAGTGACCTTTTCTAGGGAGGTGACCCTCCAGGCTGGTTTTCTTACTCTTCAGGCAGCGAGTGCTCCAGGAGCCTGCCTGCGGTCCAGCGGGGCTTGGCCCAGGAGAGTGGGGAAGGGAACACAGGCAATATCATGAACTCTGGAACCAAACTGCCTGAGAATGAGTCCCACCTCTGCTACTTTACTGCTGGGTGTGACCTTAGGCAAGTGTCTTTCTGTGCATTAGCTTCAGCATCTAAAATGGAGATGGTAACAGTACATAACTCATAAAGCTGTTTGAGGATGATATGAATGAATGTATGTGAAGCATTTCTGAAGTGTGCCTGGCACGGAGTAAGTGCTATACACGTACGAGCTGTTTTTGGTAGGGTTGCCATTATTAATAGGAAGCAAGATTTAAGTCTTTGGGGGCAGGAAAGCTTGGTGAATAGCTTTGTCTGATGATCAGGAGACCTGGATTCTGATCCCAGTTCATCCTTTACTTTCCATGTGACCTCGGGTAAGTTACAACCCTTCTTGGGCTGCAAAAATATAATTATCCTGCATTTGCAGCACTTGGCATTTGTAAACAAGGCCCATGCGATCACAGTGGGCAGTTGCAGGGTTTTATTCACCGAAAGGACTTCTGGGTGCCTGGCCCATTCTTCTGCATTGAGACAGCCACTGTGGGCAGGTCCCAGCGCCATCACAGAGACACAGAATGGCAGAGGTGCCCCACCCCCCACAACTGTACTCAACAAGGCCAGAAAGTAGATGAATCCATTTAAATATACACATACCAGTGGGATTATATAGATCATATTACAAACCTTTATTTTTTTACTTTCCCCTGTTTTCTGAATCTTCTGTAGTGAGCCCATATTATTTTTATGCTTCAGAAAGGACGCATTTATACAATAAAGCGACCCAAAATCTTACTCTACACATTTAAACAAAAATGTATCATATAAACTTGGGATTGCATTGAGCTTTTTGTTGTTAATAAAGCAATTTTTTTTCAAAAGGGGGTGGGGTGTTGGTTTCAAGTGAATATTAATTTGTCAAGCCTCAAAAGACTGAGGGAATGTGTATGGAGGGAGAGGCTATGTCCACCCGCCTCAGCCGAGAGAGTCTGATATGGATGGGAGTGTCACCCAGCTTCCATTGTGGTGAATACACCCTGAGCGCTGCCTGGTGTTTAGAAAGCTTTTCAACAGTCAACACCAACGGGCTTAATTTCCTCATGCTGACAATGAGGAAAATAATACCTAATTCAGGGAGTGCTGTGAGGGTTGAAGGAGCTTAACCCATATTGAGGTTTTAGAGAGAAACCCTGTCTCCCGAATTTTGAACTAAGTGAAAAGAAAACAGTTGTCAAAAATGGAGCTCCAAACTTCAGCGTCATTATTGAGAAGGCTGGCCAGAGAACGTGGCTTTAAGTCCGGGGCCCAGAGGGCTTGCTAACCGTCTGTTCTGGCACTGGCACTGTTACCTGTCCTGTTACAGGTGGCGCTGGACAGGGGCCAGCCACCCTGCAGAAGCAGGTGGTAGCACCAGTGAGCAGCACGGATGGAGCACCCCCTACAGGCAGTTAGCTCTGCCTGAGACGGAGCCCCACTGAGCATGCCCACTGTTTGGTCTGGGCGTGAAGGGGCGGAGCGAGGCCAGAGGTGTTCTTCCGGTAGAGGTCCCTCATCATGGAAACAAGTGAAGAGGGGAATATGTGTTCCCCCCCATAAATATAGGGCACTTTGAATGATTCCCGGTGTGCAGTAAACTCTCAATAAATGTTAATTTGTCGTTGCTGATCATGATAACAATGAGTAATTCTACTACACTAGTTGAAAAATAACTCTCCCATTCACTGTCTTAGGGGATGGAATATTAGAATGTTGTTGCAATAGCGCCTGATTAGACATCCTCCCGTATAGAGGAAATAGAAACTTAGTGGGAGGATGACTCGTATGAGGTCCTGTGGCAAGTGAGTGAGTGGTCACGTAGATAACTGACCTCCTTGACCTCTGGCATCTGAATACGCAGCAGAGATGTAACTGGAGCAGGGGTGATGTATCATCTACTCTGACACTAGGTATTTAGAGGTTCTCGGAAAGCCTCTCTGATTCCCTTTCTCTCTGCCCTACACCCTGTCCTGGAAGGATCCAGCCGCAAGTTCCTTTTTGCCAGGAGACTGTGTAGCATGGCGTCATGCCCGTCAAACTTTGTGCATATCAGAAATCCCTGGGAGGTGGCAAGCTGCATGAAGGGGGTCACTGGGGTTGTCCTTACAGCTTGGGCGTCTTCCGGCTTCTTAGGCCTTGATGTTGGCCGGACCTAGGTGTGGGCCAGCTCTTCCTCCCACTATCTGCTCATCTTTGGGCAAGTTTCTCAACTCTCAGAACCTTGGTTTTCTTATCCATGAAGTGGAGAATGATAATGGTACCTCTCTCATGGGATTGCATGAGGATTAAATGAGATCATGGGTGTAGCTAAAATGCTTAGTGCTGGGCCCAGCTCAGACTGTACCCTCTGTTCAAGCTAGAGGATGATAAGGATAATGATGATGATCAAAGACTGCTCCTGCCACTCCTTTGGGAAAATGACAAAAAGTCCTCCTCCCCAAAGACTAAGGTCCTTGATCTGGAGTGCAGGAGATTTCCAGGACGGTGGAGCTCTGAGGATCAGGAGGGCCATAGGCCTCTGTAGGCTTAGACCTTGGTTAGACTGTGTGAGCCTAGCCTTGACCTGAGCGCTCTTGGCTTAGAGTTGAGGGCTATTTGGGGTGCTTGTGACTAGATTCACAAGAGCATGGTCTTGTGAGCAGCTCTATAGTCCACTGAGTCAACCTACCTACCCAGCCTGTTCCCATGGACAACATCCAGCCTTGCTTACATACGTCAAGGCTTGGAGAACTCACTACCTTTCCTTTCTGGACAGTTCTAACTCTTAAATATGGTACAGAATTTGAGCAAACCCTCCCTCCCTTTGCTTCCACTCATTGACCCTGATCATGCTTGTTGGGACCACGTGGAATGTGGACATTCCCTAAGGGGACCAAGTCTTCCTTGTATCCAGGGCCACCCCCGGCCAATGATTCTAATGTAGTGAAGAGTGAGTTGTTTCTGTCAACTTTTTCAAAAAACTTCATCTCCATCTGAACCCAGCGGGCACTTAAAAAATAGCTTTCTAGTTATTGAAGAAATTGTGTTTTTTTGTTGAAAAATGTGGAGGGTAAAGAACAGATGCAGAGGAGGATATTATCACTCAGAGATAAGTAGTGTGAACAGTTTGTTGTGCACACACACATGTGCGCAATTGGGATCATATCATATGAACCACTTCCTGTGTTGCCGCTTTTCAGTTAACATTGTAAGGGAGGATTTTTCCACATTATTCAATATTCTTCCACAGCGTGTTTCCTTGCTCCATAACATCGTGCCACATGGATCTACTGTGACCCAGTGAAGCGCTCCCCTGCTGTTGCACATTTAGGGCGTTTTGAATTTTTCATTACCATCCACATTGCTACAGTGACCACCTCGTCCAGACGTATTCTTTGTGCTCAACTCTCCACAGAGTGAATTCCTAGAAGTGGCTTTCCAGTCAGGTGGTTTTTCATTGCAAGGTCTGAGAGCCACATTCTCAGGGAAAAGCCCTCTCCTTGACACCCACCAGAATGTACCCCCATGCTTAGCTCCAGCCCCCCTGTGGGAAGGGACAGACAGTGCCCCTCAATGCTAGTTAGCAGACCCACAGAAGCAAGGGGGTAGGCTCTTTGGGGGATATGTTTGTTTGTGAAAGCCAGAAAGAGAAAAATAGATATGGGGGAGCTTTTCCTCTTCAACTGTAGTCTGACTTTTGACCTCCTTTCTGGGAGCCAGTGGTGTCATTAACTAATTATGGGATCTCGTTACTATTTAATGACCTCTCTCCATGGTGACTCCTTCCTCCCAAGCAGCCTTCTGGGAGCCAGGGAGTGGGAAGATGAGTCTGTGGGAGGAAGTTTCACTGGGGTAGGACTTCTCCAACTCTGACATACGTCAGTGTCCTGGAGGGTTTGCAAAAGCAGGGATTGTACCCCGAGAGTTTCTGATTCTGGTGGTCTGGGGTGCAGCTGGAGAATGTACATTGCTCACATGTTCCCAGGAGATGTTGCTGCTGCTGGTCCAGAGACCACACTTTGAGAACCAATGGAGCAGTGGAATGGGGCGGGGGTGGGGGGGGTGCTGTTTGGTGAATTTCAGCTTCTGGTGCTGCTGACAGTAGGAGCCTTGTCATGTTTGATAAACGCTCGTGTGAGGCCTGAGCTCACCTTCCCCTGCCCCCACCTCATCACCCCTTCTCCAGTATGTGTTATGT